GTCTAACCGATGGCTTACCGGTGAATGTCTTATCGCAACCCTCGACCGGACACTCGACCACTCGTAGGCCCTGATGTGCGTTCATGTGGTCCACGAGCTTATCATTGCTGCCGAAACGGTGTTCACATGCGGGCCAACTGCACGCAAATGGCCTCAAGTGTTGGCGTTTGTGTTGATATAAATACATATAAGTGACAAACCCTTTACCACAACCCTCTACATCGCACACATACTGTTTCACTCCCATATGCATATCCTTATGGCGTTTAATCTGTGTCAGGTCTTTATACCGGGCCTCACATCCGGGCCAATCGCACACATAGGGTCGGCCGCTATGGACTCTCTTCACATGAAAGGTGAGTAACTTCTTAGCGGCGAAACTCTTGCCACAGCCCTCTTCGGTGCACTCAAATGGTGTGCTCTTCTCGTGCCGTTTGTGGTGTATATCGAGACTGGTCTTGAGTCGTGCGCTGTAATCACATCCCGGGTACTGGCATTTCAATGGCTTGTCCTCCGAGTGGGTATTCATATGCAACTGTAGGTACTTCTCGGTAGTGAAGGCGCGGCCGCACTCTCGGCACACAAACGGCCGCTCATTGGTGTGCTTCTCGCGGACGTGTGTCTCCAATAGGGCCCGCGATTGGACGGCTTTCGTACAACCCGTCCATTCGCACCGGTATTTGTTGACCACTTTGCGGGGCCTGTAGTCCGGGTTATGAGTGCGTGACTTGACGTGCACTTTGAGCTGACCCGCAGTATAATAGGCTTTATTACATCCGGCGATTTCGCACGGATAGGGCGGCGCTTTCAGTGTGTGTCTCATTCGGTGTGTCTTCAGTTGGAACTGATGTCGTGTCTCGAAATGGCAGCCATTTTGGTCGCACTTATACCTTCTGGTCGAGGAATGGATCACTTGATGCTCTCGAAGGTACTGAGCGGTTGTGAACCGTTTGCAGCACTCTTCGCACTTATAGGGTCTCTCTTTGGTGTGTTTGGAGCGCATGTGTGACGACAATAACGACGGGATTGGGAACCGCTGTCCACAGCCCTCCCATTCACACAAGTATTTCATTGATTTGTTCACATTTTCTTCACTTCTTTCGCTTTTCTTAACGTATTTTCTCTTTTTCTGAACGCTTTTGTCATCCATTTCTTCATCACTTGAAGTCTGTTCCCGATTGTGGATCTTCTGATGCGCCCGAAGACACCTCTCCGTAGGGAAAGTCTTGTGGCAAACGTCACACCCGAATGGCCTTTCCTTTGTATGTTTGACCCGAATGTGTGCCAAAAGAAAGTCACTTTCAGTGAACCGTTTCTCACATCCGATGTAATCGCAGATAAAAGGTTTCGGTCGACAGCGCTTCCCATTCGCCGAAAGAATTCTCATATCTTTATATTTCTTCTTCAGTGGTGTTGTCGTCGGGTTTTCATCCATTTCTTCATCACTTAAAGTCTGTTCCCATTTGTGGTCAGAATTATCCTCCGATTCATCGCTTATTGTCTTCTTTTGCTTTTTATATTTTCTCTTTGTTGTTGTCTTCGCTTTATTGCCATTCAATGTCTTCTTTGGTTCACTTCTTGTGTCCTCTGTTTGTATGAGTTGTCGGACACTGTGTTTGTTGTCATCTCTGGATGTGATGTCTTCGGGCACTGGATGTGCATCGAGTGATGTGTTGAATGACTTGATATCATGTGTGAAAGTGTGGTAAATGTGTGTCAATTGATTCNTGTGTTGAATGACTTGATATCATGTGTGAAAGTGTGGTAAATGTGTGTCAATTGATTCCACGTGTGTTTGTGTCCACTATTTTGAGGACAAATACAGTTTGCATTCAAACTAATCACGAATTGTCTGTACTTTTCAAACAAATCCATTATTTTGTGACAACTTTTCAATTCATATAAAAGTCTTGTGTTTTCAGTCATTAACTCTTCCAACACATCATTCACTAGTATTTTAGGCATTATTTTAATCACAAAAACTATAATTTAATTGTGATTTAAATTGTATTTAAATTCAATTGAATTGAGTCTCAAATGAATGACTCGTTGTTTGCAAACAATCACTCGTTTTCACAACAAATGCACACAAATAACGATTCAATAGTGAAATAGGGATAAAAATTCAGTGAAAAATTTTCACTGAAAATTAATAAAACTTTTTAAATAAATAAAAGAATTACAAATATTTAATTAATTAAAATTTATATAAATATTTAGATTATGTAACAAATTTACAATTATTTAAATTTTTATAACTAACTTTTTAATTATTTTATTTAGTAAAAAGTGATCACAAATTAAATTTGCATTTCATAGATTGAACTTTAAAGATTGAATTGTATCATCTTTTTGTGTATAATTATGGTAAAATGCCAATTTATTGGGAAATTATTTAATTAATTAATATTTAAAAGTAAATTTTTGGTACCGGTAATTAAATGCTGAATATTTTATTGTTTAAACAAACAGTTGAGATAAATTTTGAGTATTAATTTAGAAACAATTAAGTGTTTAAAATAATATATTTAGTAAAATATACATGAACATGTTCATTTTACAAGAAGGGCAATTTGGATGCGACTGCCAGTGCGCCCAACTCTCCGAGTCGGTCCAACTCCAAGTCCAACATTTTCAGATTAGCGCACTGTTGGTCAGGCGTTAGGTCTTTGCTTTCAGAGCAGGTCTTGCCGGTGGCGTACAAATCACCATAAAGGTTCTTGATCTAAAATATAAAGCATTATTAATTATTACCAAGTTTGAAATATTACAAAATAAAAAACATATGGCAATAAAGCGAAGACAACAACAAAGAGAAAATATAAAAAGCAAAAGAAGACAATAAGCGATGAATCGGAGGATAATTCAAGGTCTTGCCGGTGGCGTACAAATCACCATAAAGGTTCTTGATCTAAAATATAAAGCATTATTAATTATTACCAAGTTTGAAATATTACAAAATAAAAAACATATGGCAATAAATTGCGCGCAAACACATACCTGCGTTACGACGGATGCCATGGGGGGAGAGGCACCCTTGAGTAGGACACCGCCCACACCCATAACCGACTCCAAGAGTGGCAGTTTGACAGCGAACTGAGCGGCGGCGCCGCCGTTGCGGTCAAAGAAATTGCATTGAATGATGTCGTCCACGTGATTGGCCCGATAGGCCTCGTCGCACATGATCAATTGAGTCATGCCGGCGATCTGTTTGGTGGCCGTCGCCCGTTGCTCAGCGCTGGTGGCGGTGCTCAACACCTTTGGTTCGCCGGTTGGGCCCATAATGGCCAGCACTCCCGGGCCGTAAACGGTGTTGAAATTGTTATAACAGACGAGTCCCTGGCGTTGGGCGGCGGCCGCTCTCTTGGCCACCATAGCCGAGGCGGTGACCAAATTTTGTTGAGTCAAATTAATCAGCTCTTCCTCATTGAGGTTCTCGAGGGCTGCGGTGCGCTCTTTGGCACATCTGATGAACTCCTTGTTCTCGGCTAATGTGGCCGCAGAGGCAGCTGTTTGGGTGTAAAGTTACCATCAGTTGTCGTGTTTATAATGAATTACGCTTAGAATATTACCGATAGCCAAAGTCATTGCAAAAACAATGGTTTGAGTCAACATTTTCCGTGTTTTTAGTGATGCTTTTAGACAATCAGTGAAATACAATTGAAAATCAAGTGATGTTTCAAACTAGTAATTGTCTGCTTATATATTATTTTCATTTTCTATACCATTTACACTTTTGGTTATTTATGGTTTTGTGACAAATGTTTTAATGTGTTATTCACAATAAAATTGATTGTTTTGATCGAATCAGTGTTTACGTAATGTGAGAAATATTTTAGTGTTTAATACAATTAATCAAATTTATTTCTTCTTGCTACTAAAAATATGTTTTAAAATATAACAATGTGCAAATTAATCATTTATCTAGTAAGATTTAGTTAAAATAGAAATACATTGTGCACTAATAGTTATTAATTTTAAATGTACGGAATATTACATGACATGTATTACATTGTAATAATTATGAGATCACATAATTTATTTTAAAATTGGGTGCAAATTGTTATATTAATTATACCCAAAGTTAATCATTATTAAATATTTATCATGTTCCAAGTGCATACGTGTTCAAATTTCGAATTACTAACAAGGAATGAATGCTACAATTTACAGTACTGTATTGTCTATAGTATTATTCACTGCCAGTATAAACAGGATGTTTAATTACACCCTGTTCATTAATTTTTTTATTAAATTTCAAAGCGATGAATAATTACAATACACGAAAAAATTTAATATTAATAAAAAATATTTTATTTTCAGCTGAATTTATAGAAATAATTAATTATTTAAAGTTTTATAGACTTTTGATTGCAAATCTCTTGCATAAGAGGCATACATGTGCAGTCAGTTTCCATCCAATTGTAAGCAATCTTATCCTCCAAACCGTTTAAATCAATTAAACAACTCATTAATCGTAAATACTTTGTCTTCGCCTCGGATTCAGACCCGTATTTGATTATTAAATAGCGTTGAAGTAAATACATGTATATATTCTGTTGTAATCTATAATAGAGTGATAAGTATTTACATAATTATTGTTTAAATTGTTGATACCTGATAAGCTCTCGGGACATTAATTCCGGTCGATCAGGGTTAAAGAGTAAAATAGTGGTCAACTGTTTGTGAGTATAAATTTTTATATAATTTTTTGCATAAAAACACAACAATTAATTACCAAATCAATAACAATTGGGTCGGAATCCCATTGCCGGCCGATATTAGTGAGAAACGTGTGATAACTGCCATAAATATTACGTTTTTCAGCCTTTAAGAGATCTAGCTTCAAAATTACACTCTTATCCGCGCCCTATGTTTGATAATAATAACAACAACAACAGTCACGTTATAACACGACCATGCTCACTAGTCATAATTACAAACTTACCATTTGGTAGTTCCAGTACTCGTAATCATAATTAAAACACAAAACCGATCGCAACGCGCATATATCAAAGCAGCCATATTTGATCAAGGACAGTTGGTCCGTATCAGACAACTGGTTAAACGCGGGCAAGCATTTGGACATTTGCATAATGCCCTCGGTCACTCGTTCCAAGTATATGGCCAACATCTTTGTGGTATTGCGTGAGCATTGATTCCCATTATTAAACTGTACGATCAGTTCGTTTTGACAACTTATGGTGATTTCGGTCCAATTCTGGGGCTGAATAGCATTGGCCGCCGACAACAGTTCCCGCAAACGCGTGATCTCTGTTTCGGTAAAACTCGTGTCCATTGGATTCAATGGACGGCTAACGGACGGCGCGAATGACAGCTCCAACTCGACGGCCCTCTCGTATACCGATTTGTACTCACTTTTATACGGCATTAAATTATTGGCAATACTCTCGTTATGATTGTTACCACTGTTTTGATTACTATTATTGCTGTTATAATTGCTTTTAGGGATAATGTTGTTGTCTTTAATGATGGCCTCCAACTCATTGAAACGTGCTTTCAGTTTCTCATAATCACTCTCCAAGTGATCAAACTTTTTCAATACAGCCATCGATTCAACCGGTGCTGCACTGGTCTGAGGGTTGGCCGCTGTTATGACCGATGGCCGGGTGGCTGTGACGGCGCTGTTTACAGCCTTCCTCACCCGATTGGCCTCAATCTTATCACGCCTTCGCTGTATCTGTTCGGCAGTCATTATATTATCCTATTTTTGTAAAAAAACACTATTTATTTATGATAAACTAATATTGGTAAAATTGGAAATCTCTGAGAATTATACACAGAATAATGAAATTATTTTTATTATTTAACTCCACATTTATAGGCACCAGAATCCGAGTTTGTAAAGATTGATTCAGTGGTTTACATACAGGAATGCTTTTAAAATATATCAGTCGGTAATAATTTTGTTAAATTTACAAAAAAAATATTGCCAGTAATGTGAACTTAAATAATAAAACTAATTTCATAATTCTAGCTATGCAGAAATGTTTGACTCTCTGATGTTTCCATTTTTACCAATATTTTAAATTTAATTTTCTCACTATTTTCATGCCGTTTGCAAAACACTTTCTCAATCGACACGATTTGCATAATTTCCTACTTTTAATATCTATCCGACAGTTGCCGTTGAAATTACATTCATATTTCTAATCATTAAAAAATTTTTATTAAAATATTAATTATTTAATTAATAAATGTTTCGCATTTTATTTATACCTCTATATTGTGGGCATTTCTCCTAAACATCACTTTACATGACTCGCACGTCAAGGCATTAAAATTATAGCCTTATTTGAGAATAAATTGAATTAATACACAATCATATGTATTAATATAACATTATGATCAATATTTAACTTATATTTAACTTACCATGAGCTATATCACCGCAAATCACACACTTTTTAATAAAATTGCTACTATTATTATTATTTTCACTCATTTTGGGACATATTATATTGTGATAAATGTGATAGCTCAAATGTCACTAATAAAGTCCTTTATAAAACATACAGTTATATTAAATCAATGTTAGATCATGTGATGACATTGAAAAATAGTTTTCTAATGGCATTGAAAACTAACCGATGATATCCTGGTGTATCAGAAGTTTGTCTTTATCTAATGTTTATGATAAAAATTCAAATAATGCGCTAGGACAAGTTTCTTACAAACAATGGTACCAACGTTTATCTGCTTGGGGTTTAGGGATCTTAAAAAGGGTTTAGGTACCAACTTTAGGTTTAGGTATTTTTGTATTTAGGCAGTTTAAGTATCTCTATTTATGTATATTTCACCAGGATCGGTTAGTCTCACTTCACACCGTCGCATTCTTAGTTAAACATTATTTAATTTTACAACCATTATTAGATAATCAGCCTTACAGTATATTATTAAATCAAAATTTTATTTATACAGTGTTATGTAATAATTATAAATTATACGTAAACGTTATGTTTTTTAAAATAAAATTTTATTTGAAAACTAACTAAAACAGTAAATAAATATTAAACTTTTATGAGCTTTATTTAAGTTTTAGTTTTATTTATTTAAGTTTAATAGACTTTTGATTGCAAATCTCGGTCATAAGAGGCATACAATTACAGTCAGCCTCTAACCAATTGTATGCAATCCTTTCGTCCAAACCATTTAAATCCGTTAAACAACTCATTAATCGTAAATACTTTGTCTTCGCATCGCATTCAGACCCGTATTTGATTAATAAATAGCGTTGAAGTAAATACATGTATATATTTTGTTGTAACCTACAGTATAACAGCGCCGTAATTTTGGTGTAAGTAATTTAAATATATTTTTAAACAAACAAGCGTAAAATGCAATTTCATCAAGTTGCTTTTACCTAATAACTTCACGGTTCATTAGCCATTCTCGATCCGGATTGAATAGTAGTATAATGGATAACTGTAAATTCAAAACAATTATGATAATTTACTACACAAATACTATAATAATAATAAATTACCAAATCAATAATAATTGTGTCGGAATCCCATTCGCGGCCGATATTAGCAATAAAGTTACGATATCTGTCATAGAGGTTACGCTTTCCGTTTTTTAATAAATCTAGTTTCAAAATCACATTACTTTCCGTGTCCTATGATTTGTGTAGTAACCAAAACAAAATATCATTAACAAGGTGATCTAGGGGAGTGTTGGCGTACCAAACTTACCATCTGGAAATTCCAGTACTCGTGATCATAATTGAAACACAAAACGGACCGAAGCGCGCATATGTCAAAGCAGCCATATTTGATCAGGGCAATTCGATCGTCCTCGGGCAATTGCGTAAACGCGGGCAAACACTTGGCCATTTGTACGGTGCCCTGAGTGACTCGCTCCAGGTACAAACCCAACATCTTGGACGTGTTAAGTGAATCCTGTAGACCATTATTAAACTCGTTGATGAGTCTCCTCTGACACCATTCATTAATTTGGGTCCAATCCTGAAGTCGAATAGCGTTCACAGCGGTCACCAATTCATGTAAACGTGTCGACTCTACTTCTGTATAACTCATGTCCATTCGATTTAATGGATTGATTGCGTGGCCGACGGACGGCGCGAATGACAGCTCCAACTCGACGGCCCTCTCGTATACCGATTGGTACTCACTTTTATACGGCATTAATTGATTAACAATACTATTGTTACTATCGTTATGAGTGTTACAGCAGTTTTGACTATTGTTATAATTATTATCATAATTGTTATTAACTGTAATATTATTATTCTTGATGATAGCCTCCAACTCAGTGAGACGTGCTTTTAGTTTCTCATAATCACTCTCCAAGTGATCAAACTTTTTCAATACAGACATCGATTCAACCGGTGCTGCACTCGTCTGAGTGTCTGTCGACTGTATGACCGATGGCCGGGTGTTTGAGATTGTTTTTTCGGTGTCCACACTTTTCTGCCCCCGATTGGCCTCAATCTTGCGAAGTCTTATCTCTTTTTGTTCGGCAGTCATAATACTCTCCTATTTGTTATTTACAAAAAAATATTTATGAGAAACTCATATAAAGTTTTGAATTAATTTTCTGACTATTTTCATGCCATTTATAAAACACTTTGTTAATCGACACGATTTGCACAGTTTCCTAGTTTTCATGTCTATCCGACAGTTACCGTTATAACTGCACCGATATTTCTTTGAGTAAAATATATGTAAATTTTTATGTATTATTTGGTAATTTATAATTCGGTTTTTAATTTATTGATACCTCAAAGTTGCGGGCATTTCTCCTAAACATCACTTTACATGACTCGCACGTCAAGGCATTGAAATTATAGCCTTAATAAATATACAACATTACATAATAATTACTATTTTAGTTTTTATAATTTAACCATATGTGAGCTATTAAAAATATACAGTAAATTAGGGCGGCTTACCATGAGCTATATCACCGCAAATCACACACTTTTTAATAAACTCGTCCGAAATATTGTTATTGTCACTCATTTTAGGACAAATAATGTAACAATTTTTTAAAACAAACTAATAAATACCTGATGTGTTAAACAAATAGAAATTAACAAATAAAACGCATAACAGAAACGTATAGTTACGTTATCAAGGATATAATAACTTATCTAATTAATATAAAGTTTATATCGTTTAATATTAAAGTGAATTATCATGAGATGACATTGAAAATTAATTGAATAGATTTCTATTACTAATAAAATACTAATCAACAATAATGTAGTAAAACTGTTGTGTTAATTCTTATTATAATTTAATATACTATTACTGTACTATTATATTTAATGTACTATTATAATATAAAATGTAATAATCCTCTAGGACCTAGAGTCTAGGTTATAATTTATTATTATATTATTTTAAAATCAAATTAATTTACTCAATAATATTGTTATTATTTTTATTGTTAAATGAAAATGATAAATTTAAAATATGCAGTACATTATAAATTATAATTTATAATATTTGAATAAGCTGTAATGAAATAAATTATAATGCACAAATATATAAAGACATGAAATTGAAATTTATTTTTGACGTGATACCACAGTTGCCATTTGAAAAATATTTTAATTAATTAAAACATATAAATAAGTTTATAATTAATAAATATGAACAAAAATTTAGTAATATTTTTAGGCAACGGTTATGGAAACAGTGGTTTGGCTGCAAATCTCGTTCATAAGAGGCATACACTCGGACTCGTCGTCCAACCAATTGGTGGTCATCTTATCCTTCAAAACATGTAAATCAGATAAACAGCTCAATAGACGCAAGAATTTACTCTTTGCCACACAATCGGAGCCGTATTTTATTAGTAGATATCTTTGAAATAGATGTATGTAAATGTGTTGCTGTAGTCTATGTTACCGGGGAACAACAAATATCACGATCAATTAACTGATATCATTAATTTAATTAATTAAAACAATCCAAATACCTTATAAGTTCGGGATGTATAAGACCGGGACGATCAGGGTTAAACAGTATAATAGCTGTTAGCTAGATAGCAGTATAAATTGTTAGATAAATTAATCAGGCTAAGTTCTTAGTTTGCTAAAAATAAATTACCAGATCAATGATATTGGTGTCTGATTCCCACTCGGTACACATTTTATTCAAAATAATTTTATGATTTTCATGAATATTTCGTTTGTCTTTCTTTAATACATCCAATTTCATGACAACAGAATACTCGGAATCCTTTACATCATTAAATCAAAACATTAATTAATTATATTCAAAATTATAACATTTTACACACAAAACACCATAATTAATTGTATTTACAATACATAATACACACCAGCGCTAGACTCCAGTACTCGTATTGAAAGTTAAAGCAAATAATGGCCCGAATTACACATATCTCAAAGCACGCGTGTTTGACCATGATGATCTGGTCATTCTCGCACATACCAACAAAGGCGTCAAAGTGTTTGGACATTTTCACTAAGTTGGCAGTAATGCCCTCCACATATATAGCCGTAATGCGGGATACATTACGAGGGCATTGGAGACCTGAGTTAAAATCCCTGATCACTTGGCGCTGGCACTCAAGGCTGAGGGCCGGCGGTGTGGAGGCCATCGACTGGGCGGCCGTCAAAAGTTCCCGAAATCGGTCGAACTCTAACTCGTTAAACGACATGAGACGGTCGCTGAGTGGTCGCCCGATCGCAGGGGCTGTGAACTCCATGTCCACCACTTTCTGGTAGATATTGTACGAGATGTCTGTCCAGCGCCTATTCATGGAGTAGGACTCCAACTCTCGGAGTCGGGCTGCCATGAGCTCGTAGTTGTTGGTCATCGCTTCCAACTTCTTTATTACTGCCATCGATGCCATGGACTCACCCGAAGAGATTGTGTCCGCACACGTGTCCAGTGAGGCCACGAGGGCCCGCACCTCCTCCTGGCGTCTGTGCTTTTTCTGTCGGTTGTGTTCAATCTTTTGAGCCCTTCTCTGCTTCTCCTCATTACTCATTATATTATCCTTTGTTTTCGTTAATTAAATAATAATGTATTTTAATTAGTAGTTAATTAAATGGATATTAATTATTGACTACCTTTTTCATGCCGGCGGCGAAACATTTGGCTAAACGACACTTTTTACAGTATTTCCTGTTTTTTAGATCAATGCGACAATTGTCACGGAAATTGCATTTTAATTTCTGTCATCAAAATGAATATTAATTAAAATTTTATAAACAATATATCGTTTGATTTGTTTATGAGATTTACGTCAAAATTCTGAGCATTTCGTCTAAACATCACTTTACAGGACTCGCATGTGATTGCGTTAAAATTAAAGCCTAATTTACAAAATGAATTAAAATTAAATTTATTAACAAAATTATTTTTTGAGATAACAATATTATTTACGTATACGTATTATATTAAAATATTAAAAATAATTGTACAATAATGAAAAAGTTTATAAATACATACCATAGGCTTTATCGCCACAAATAACACATTTCTTGTCAAACTCATCGTGGTCCATTGTTTTTAATACAGTTAATAGTAATTTTTATAATATATGCATAAATATCACAATAATATCTCAATTTCTCGAAAAGGTACTATAAATGTACTTTCATGCATTTATTGTAGTTTAATTACTTTATTTTATTATATTAGTCACTATTGGTAACTAATTATCAAAATATAATTGTTCACTATTTATGTTTAAATATACAATACGTTTAATAATAAATTGAAATTTATATAAAAATTGTTAATTTAATCTAGATATTTAATGATCACATCATTTTGGTAATAATTGCTAAACCACTAATACATGTACACAACTTTTTGTCAATAAATATTCAACACATAAAGTAGTAAATACATATAAAATTAATTACATATTTATATCAATAGTGGTATACATATAAAACTGTTATAACTGATACTTTATCAGTAATCAGTAATTGTACTAAAATATAAATTAAATTACTTATAATTTAAGTGCAATACGAGTTTACTTTTAATACAAGTTTTATCTAGATTTTGTGTACCATAAACGATTATTAAATCACAATTTTTAAAATAATTTCATAATAATTATTAATACGTTCAGGTGTGCATAGTCATTTTTAAAAAATAATTTATGATACAGTAATCAATTAGGGATCAATAAGATCCTTGATAATGCTTTTATACAATGTTGTACATAACTCAAATAAATATTTACTTGATATACATGTACTGTAACAGTAGTATTAAATGTTTTTACAAATTTTGTAAGTTTTACTAACGAGAAAACATGCCATTGAAACCAATTGCCAAATACGGATACAGTATAAAAAATAATATAAAAATTGAAAATTAATTTCTACTAACAATAATTAGCTATAATAGGTCTAATAATAAAGAATAAAACATCTAAACTCTAGATTTATTTAAATAATTTATTATATAGTATGATTTGTAATAATTATATTTAAAGATAATTATTCACAACATTTTTATTAATTAGATAAAACATTAAGTTTGTTATTCGAGTGTAGAGAGCAATTCTGTACATTATTTACAGTTAAAAATATCTTATTTTGGTTAAAATAATTTTTAGTAACAAATTTATTAAACAATTATCGAGTGATTTAATAAAACAATGCGTTTTAATCACAAAATGATTTATAAACTTCATATCTAAATGAGACAAATTGT